CGAAGGTATGTTTACAACGATATGTCGCCTATACTCATCGAGATATTATATTAATACCAAGAGACGAATATAACAAAATATAATAAGTGCCTACCTGCGATTTTAAAAATAAAGTCATTTTGTCCGTTATACGTTCCCATATCCACGAGTAAACACGGTCGGGTGGTCTAGTTTTATAATTTATTTTTACCAAAATGTCGGCAATATAACGTTTTAAATCAAAATGTCCAATGACAAAAAAAAGTAAAACATTAATTGTAGACTTCAGTATAGAACGAGTTTTACGAGATTGACATTAAAAATAAAACTAAGTCTTGCATAAATATTTTCCAAGCAAAATTTTATTCTTTAATATAATAAATATTTTGAAAGTAAATGAACGGATTTTTCCTGTAGGCACTGACTCGAATTACATATTCAATGAATTAACAAAGATTTAGAGGATAAAATCATGTTTTGTAAATATGATAAATTATAAAAAATTTTCCTTCCCCCCCCCCCCAAAAAAAAAAAAAAACAAAAGAAAGGAATTTCAAATAAATAATTTTTCTAGACGTTTTGATATGCATAACACTAATATCAAATTTACCGTTTAAAGTTTCGACCGGTGGAGTTTTGAAGAGTTATCAATTTATCATTCAAAAATAGGGTATGCAATTTGTTATTCTTCCCTACTCTTTCGGTCTAAACTTTAAACTGTTATAATTCATAAACGGTAAATGTGATATTAGTATTATGCATATCTGAAATTCTAGAAAAATATTCTCCATTAGAATGCATGTCGCAAAAGGGAGATTCCTATTTGAATAACAAATGTATATATTTATTTAAAGAATATGGAGTAAGAGTAAAAAATTGTAAATAAAACTTAAACGATTACACAATAATTAAAAAAAAACATAAATCTTATTAATTTAAAATCGTCCAAGAAAATTCCTGGTTAATGATAAAAAAAAACCCCCACTCTGTATAATAATAATTACAACTATAAATTTGTATCAATTAATAACCTCACCCGTTTTTTTTTTTTTTTGCAGCGGAATATGCTAATGGCGGTCTGCCCAGGCCGGCGGGTCTAACCAAGAACTTCCACCCGGATTTCTTGCCAGCCCAGATTAGCAGTGTGGATAACCCGGAATACCACTTGACTGGTGACGAACCCGGTGCCACAGGTACGACCCCAACCGTGGTCGTGTGCAATGGCGGTAGTAATGCGGTAACATCCGGCGGTACAGGTTCGTCCGAACCGCAAACACCTGGGACCACTTCCAACGGCCGGAGTCTGGAAGACGAGTCGGACCATGAGTACTACAACGACTTTGACCGGTTGCAAAGGGAGCTCCAGCCGCTCAGAAGAAATGAGACGACTGTCTGACCTCTACCCTCTTCGGACCTTTTTGTAGACATTTAAGTTTTTTAAGTTCTGTTGACTCGTTTTAAGAATATTATATCAACACAATAATGAAGGAAAAATGTATGGAAAATTAAATTTCAATCGTATAGAAATATTTATATTATACAGATAAATATGTTAGGGACCCTAACTTAATGTTGTAAAATCGGTTAATGCCGTTATATTTAAACTTTTTGTACATAAAAACCGATTTTGTTTTATTAGTTATAATATTCAAGTACATCAAATTGTGTAATTTTGTTTTTTCGATATTTTAATTTTCAAGCGAGTTACAATTATATATGACGCAAAGTATTACGACTCAAAAATCATTGAATCTGACTAAGAAATTGAAATATCAAAAAAAGTCAACGTACACAGACAACGTTTTTACTTTTTTAAGTTTTAAAATGGGCCAATACACTCTAATGTCAAAACCAGCAGCACGAAATTGGTCAAAGTATTTATATAAAAACATTAACCTATTTTACAACATTAAACATAACGTATATATTATATATATACATATATTTAGTATATATATATATATATATATACATTGTTATAATTTTATTTTTAAAATGTATTATTATTATTGTATACAGCTGTGCCATTTTCAATCCCTCGACTGTACATTGTATAATTTAATATAAAAAAATAACTGTAAAGGAACATATATATTTTTTTTTTTTATTTATTGTAAGCATATTTTTGTCATTGACGTGTACAATAATGTTATTATTGTGTATTATGTATGACTGTAGTTTGCCCATATTAAGATAGCACAACCAATTGGATTATTAAACGAGGAAACCATTTCGTTCCAATTTAATGTACTTAAGTAAAAATCAAAACAATTTTATTATTTTATCCGAAAAATAAAAACCGATTGCCTTTATTTTTTTATAATTAACTGTGGGCAAACAAATATATACATTTATTTTTTTATTTTTTAAAGGCTGTGATATTTATTTAATTATTGTAAATATATTTTTTCTCGAAAAATTATTCGAAACTTATAAATATTTATGTGTCTATATTATACTATTTATATAAATGTTACTTATAAGAATACCATCAACAAACTACGTATTTTATTTTCATTGTAATTTTTACTATTAACTGCAGCAATATTTTTTATTCTATTATATAGACTTTTACTGAACATAATTTTACATAATATATAAATCGTACATACGTAATTACTAGCTTACCGGTTAGTTTATAATATATTTTGACCTATTACAATTTTAGGTAGGTAGGTACTTTAGTACTTACAAATAGATACGTGGAAAATTTTTTAACTGACCTGTTGTACTTATATAATATTAATTTAAACATTAATTGTATCATTTTTTTTTTTTTTTTTAGATCTCTTATAATTTTCCATGTATCGTCATAACTCGTAATAATAATGTTAAATTAAACGTTGAACTACTTGCCATCAGCTACCATTACACACGTACTGAGTATGGATATTAACATTATGTAAATGTATTCTTTGCTTTTGGTTTAAATTATATGACTTTTTATTGTACCATTTGTACCTAATAATATTAGTAAGTGCCATTTGTTTAACATGTTGACCACTGTGAACATTATAAATTGTGAATTACTATATGAGATAGTAAGTAATAATAATTATTATTTTTTTTTTTTTATACATATTATGTTATCATAACTTTTAATGAGTCTGTTTAATAGACATATTGTTTGTGTTTTATAAACTGTTGCATTTTGTATACCTACATTGTGTACAAATGCGTGTTTACTTGTAAAATTAATTTTGTAAGTCTGTAAAGTGTCAATAAAAACAAGTTGATCAATAATTATTGTATTCATCATTTTATTCACAAATGTGTATGGAGTAGGAATGTTAAGAATTGTCATCGTCTCATTTACTGTCTCTGTCCTACCGATAGGCGACCAAGCAAAACACTATAATTCAATTACAAGATTCCTTTTACTTAAGAATTGAATTGTGGGGAATAGATTGAATTAATATTAAAGTTAAAACAAAGACAACAAAATTGAATAATGTTAATATTTTTAAAAGTACAATGATAGATGATGACATTAGTTTTGTGTAGGTATTATATTATTAATGTGTTAATTATTTTCTCCCGTGTTTTCCATTTTGGATTCTGAGCGCATCAAGAAAAGTATTTATTCGATTGTGATATTGGGACCGAACCCGGGCGTAAGGAGAGGTTTGAGGGGTTCAAATCTCTCCCAATGTCTTTTTTTTTTTTTTTACATTTAAGTCATTGACAATTACTGGTTCTGACGAATCATATTAGGAAACTAAATTGATCGATTCAGTGAACTCGTAGTTTTCTATTAAATTATATTTAAAACACGTGTATTTAAACGACACGTTAAATAAATTGTTATTATTAAAATATGTGTTTTAGATAGAGATTTATTTTTTATTTTTTTTTATCGAATAACTTAATACACGTCTAAAACAATATTTTTTGTTAAATCGAACAATTATTTTTTAAAACAAATATTCGAATAGTGTAACTATACCAACTACAGGAATATTATGTTTGAACACGGAAATAACTTTACTACCAAATTTTAATGAAATTCGAATTTAAATTAAATTAAATTGTAAATATTACAAAAAAAACACTACGGTAAAATCACTTTTCTCCGAGCGTGTCCAAGTGCTAATGGTCTCGATCACATACTAGTTTCCGAAGACAATATTATTGTTGATATCTCGCGACAACATTAAAAAATAACCGGCCTCAATGTTAATTAACTATGACTCCGCCAACTGCAGAGTTTTTCTATCCGATGGCACTGTCATATTACGTTTCCCCTGTAAAGGAAAAGTTTACGACTCTACGTCATGCCCAATTAACGAAAGCGAAAACCTCTCGGTCGGCACTAGTTTAAATACTATTCTAATAGACCGACATTTTGAAACCAATAAAAATATTTCAAACACCGCACTGTAAACGAAACATCGCCGACAACGAACGTGAATGAAATGGATACATTAACGTTCGATATAGACGTTCCGTCCGACAGGGATAGTAAAAATATACCCAATATACCAATCCATTAATCAGCCAGCGAATTAAACGTACCGACAAAGGAAGGAAAAAGACGAGCATCGTCAAATTACGACACCGACCCCATCGCCACCACAATCCCCTCCGCTAGGGTGGTCCTTATTTCTAAACTTATAACGTTTGTATTTTTTATTATTCCATTTCGTTACTCGATATAAGAAAGTAATGCATGTGAAATTTAATCGCTCTAACTCACTTCATTCAATTGTCCCAAGTTGGTTGAAAAATTACCAAATGGGTAGTTTTCCTGATTTTTTTACTATTTATTTCAGAATAATCGCGTTCAATTGCATCTCAGTGAGTACGTATAAATAATTTTTGTTCTGAACATTGTTTATACATTCGTAATATGTGAAAAAAACCACATGAGGGAGGGTTCAGTGTCCTTAGACCCCCCACCCGGACTTCGAGTTTAGACCATGAAAAGAAGATTTTGTGTTGCAATTTTTTAATTAAACTATGTAGATAGGTAAGTAAAAAAATAATAGGTATTTAAGTTTAAATAAAATAAATTAATAAATGTTGGGTAACTACTTTTGTATGTTAAATAATTGTAAGTTATTGTAAGTTAATATCGAAGCCCCCCCCCCTCCGAGAAAAGTTCAAATACCTCCTCTGGTGTGTGCGATTATTTTTTTTTATATAGTTGCCAAACTTGTATATTACAACCACGACTGTTATCTATAGATAATAGCCGTGGTTATAACATTAACAAGACCGTGAAGTAAATAATGGAAATTTGTTATGTTATCAACCGTGTTATCAGTTTTCGAGCGGGAAAAGTATAGAAGTATCAAGTATTTAGAATTGCATTGAATATCTACGAGAATATAATATACGCATTTATTTTTGATTAATTTTTTTTGTATTATGAGTTAGGAATATAATGTTGAGGTCGTAGACATACTAGCAATTGTGTCGTATTGTTAGATTTTAATAGTAGAGAAATAAAAAATGTGTGGCCGAACTGCTTGGTGAGTAACTACTTAACTACCTACCTATTATTTTGGATTCTTGTACTTGATGTAACAAATAATTTGAACTATTGACATGGCGTAATTAACTATAACCAGATTATCCAAGAAATTATTAATACGCAATTATTATTCTAATAAAATATCTTTTTTTATTGTAATTTTGTAAGGTTATGTAGTAGGTAAAATAATTTACACTATAAATAATACTACAAAAATGATTAACACTGTAATATTTTTAAAATTAAATTATAGGTATGTATTATAAAAAATAAAAAAATACTTTGTGTATAACATTAGTGTCAGAAAATTGTATTTAATAGAGTGAGAACCATTAGAGAAGGGACTTTCCCTCTACCACTTTTGCTTTTTTTAAATATTTTTAAGTGATATTTGTAGGTTTTTTTGAGATTTCAGTTTAGTTATAACAAAATATCCGATAAATAATAATAATTATTAACACAAGTTCCCCCCGACTGTAATATGTAAATATGCAATCTGTAATCTGCATGTGTTAATTTATGTGCATTTTTGTTTTTATTAGCAACTTGAAACGTGAAACCTATTGCAAAGCTACTAGTTATAAAGATCGTAAAGACACATTGTATCGTCAGTCAGAATGGCACGATCTAGAAAACGGTGGACATGAATTCAAACAATCTAATAATATAGCACCTACCGATGTGACTCCTATTCTTGTTGCTGGTGAAGAATTTGTAGGCTACCCATCAAGAGTTTTAACTCCCATGGTTTGGGGTATGATACCTCCGTGGCATAAGGTGCCTATTATCTATATATATTATTGTAAAAGTAAAAATAAAAAAATAATGTGCAGGTTTAAATTTAATGTAGGAAGTACATACTCTGTATTGGGTAGGCCACTGCAAGTTTCCTTATGTGAATGAAAAAATATGATGACATTATTATAACACAATAAAAAAATAATTACAATTTTATTTCTAAAAAACTCTAGATTAAAATTAAACTTAAAAATAATTTTCAGGGAAATTTTAACGACCATGGATTAAGCACAAACAATTGTCGAATAGAAAATTTGATGGCTTCAAAATTGTACAGTGAACCTTTAAATGCAGGAAGAAGATGTATTGTTATTTGTGAAGGTTTTTATGAATGGAAAACAACTGAAGGCCCTGGAAAGAAGAAACCATACTTTATATACACTCCTCAAAAAAATGAGGTTTGTATAGAATAGGGCGATAATTTCATAGATTTTTCATTTAATGATACTGAAAAACTAATGTAAAAATCTCAGTTGCAAATAATTAATAATAATAATAATTTATTCAAAGAAAACAATAAAACAATCAAGAGCCCATTAATAAAAAGTGGTGCCTACACCTCTGGTGCAACAACTGAGAGAGCGCTAAAATGTTCTAAAAACAAATATAAAAATTTGAAATTAAGAACATCCCATAGTGAGATATGAAAGATACTTTGAATTTTTATTATAAAATTTAGAATTCCTAATGGGATATTTTGAAGTTTCGCACTGGGCGCAATATTTGGTGTTGTTACGGTCCTGTTAATTGTAATTCATTTTATTTGGTAAAATTGTAAAATAATATATAAACAACAATATTATATTCTGATAAACTTTATTAGATAAGTTTCGTATTGTAAAAATAAGTCCAGTGGTTCTCAAACCGTGGTACGCCGAAGGCTGCATGGTAACAGTACAGAAAATAAGTTAATGAATATCCTTACAAATGATTTTTAATGGACCTAATACTAAATTTTATATTAATATTATGTTGCAGTATTTTGCTGTCTTACATTCCTATCATTTTGAAATAAATGTAAAACCATTATGAATTGTTCAATTTTTAGTTGCACGTGGTAAGTGATAGATCCATCATAATACATATAAGTGATATGCGAAATTAAAAGTTTGAGAATCTCTGAACTAGTCCAATTTATTGAATATTATACAAAACATTAAAAAATTTAAATTATTTATAAATAATTGAAATTTTAATGCAATACCTAATTTCTAAACACATTTATTTAATGAATAATATAATATTGAATTTTATACTTAACACTACAATGCATGATTATAATTTTTTTTTTTACATTATTGCCGGCAGGCAACACCATGCACATGCACCATGGTCATAATTTTTTTTTTTAAATAATGTTTTATAGACAATTCAAAACATTGTAACCTGTAGGTAGCATAACGCATTGCTTTAAAATAACTCAAATTAAATGAAAACATTTGTATGTTTATCTTAAGATTTCAGTTTACAATAAAAATGATTGGGAATCTAGTCAATGGTCTGAGAAGTCTGGTTGGTGTGGACCTTCTCTGCTTAAACTAGCCGGTATTTACAATAAATGGAAGTCACCAAATGGTGATATTTATTACAACTACTCGGTTGTTACAATGGAATCAAATAAGAAATTTTCACAAATTCATCACAGAATGCCTGCAGTCTTAGAAAATGAACAAATTATAGAAGTAAGATTGGTTTATTCAGTTTTACATTCTTTTAAATAACAATTTAAATAATTGAATTGGTATACAACGTCAAAATAAGTGTCAAAGTGAGAATATTTATTGTTATTAACCAAAAGATGATAAATCGGACAAAATAAAGTCAACTTTAAATATAATAAAGATTGTGGAGAATGTTGGAAAACCGTATTATTCTTGTATTCATATTTTGATATTCTTAACACTGGCCACTACTACTAGCAATCGCATAGTTAAGTGGTAATTCAATCAATCTGCGGCCACTGATCTGATATATTTTCTTATACACTTTAACAGTTTTAACAAAAAAATTGTATTGACATTAAATGTATGGTTCTGATCCGTTTAGTAATTGATTGATTTTATTAGGATTGGTTGGATAGCAGAAGGGTATCAGCAAGTCGAGCTATTGCTATGCTTCATCCTGTTGAAAATTTGTCATGGCATGAAGTAACAAACTCTGTCAACAATTCACGAAACAAGATTGACGATTGCAATAAGCCTGCATCAAAAATGTACGTATAAATAACTAGTATTGATCTTATATATAACTTACTGGTAGAAAAAATTGTATTCAACATGTTACAATTTGGAATTTTTAAGTTTAATTGTTTTCATTTACATTCATATTTTTATTATTCTACATTGTGTATTATTTAATAAATAATACTTTGGGTTTGTACCAATCCATTTCAATGCAATAAGATGTTATATTTATAAAAATTTAAAGAAAACGTGAGGTGTAATGTATTATTATGATAATTATATTTTTTATTATAAATGCATAGTTTACATTAAACACATACATTTTTTTATCATTTTATAAATTAAAGTAATAATAATTCAAAAATTATTTATTATAGTACGTTATAGAATTCTTACCTATTAAATTAAAATTATGAGTCGATCACATAACCTAATTGGTCACATATTGGTCCAAATTTCAAATAAAACTGGTAGTATTATGAAATTTAATAATTTTACAATTTGTTTAAGTCTATTAGTTATGTATGCAAAATATACGCATATTTTTCTTTCTTTCATATACTTAATCTAACATTTTAATTAATATTTATTCAAAGGATATACTAGAGTTTAATTTTAATATGTATTGAGTATATATTATTATAAAATATGAATAATAATACCTATGCTCTACATATAATAAACTAATTAACAAGTATTTTTTTTAAGCCTGCAAAATTTTATTTTACATTTAAACATTTAAAAAAGTTTTGTACCACTAGACTTACATTTTTGTGAGCAATGATTACTTAATCTTAAGGTTTTTAATTCGAGAAAATAACTATAGTTGTATTTTTCATTTTTAGTGTTAACAAAAGCAGCACATTCATGGCATCTTGGTTAGCTGGAAAAAATAAAAATAATGATAGTAACGAAGAAAATCAAATGAGGAAAAAGGCAAAATATTAGTACATATAACAAATGCCAATTACATAGATGTACATATAAATAATTATGAATTTGAATAATTAAGAATGTATTTAGCATGAACTAAGATAAATTATATTTATTGAAAATTATAAATATTTTTAAAAACAATAAAAGATTAAATTGTATGAATTGTAAATTTATCTTGTTAAAAACCTTGTTGTACCTATTCTATTACTAAGTAACAATTCATAAAATAAGCTCGATAAATCATCATGGAATTAAGTTTTAGTTTTCTCCATATAACCATGCGTCGCTTGGTCTAGACCAGGATATTAGTTCTTTTTCTGAAAACCACAGGGCAATTTCTTTGTTGGCCGATTCCACAGCATCAGAACCATGAACTATGTTGCTGTTAACATTGAAAAACATAAGAACATTAAAATAAAATAGCAATTGTAGTTGTATTGTTATTTTACCGGCCCACTTGAATACATAGATCGCCCCTGATGGTTCCAGGGTTAGAGTTTTTTGGGTCAGTCGCACCAAGAATGAATCGTCCGGTTTTTACAACATCCAATCCTTCCCATACCTAATAAAATAATGCAACCTGCTGTTTTATTTATTTATAATAAGATAAAAGAATGTGTGCAATAACCATTGGAACTACTGGTCCAGAAGCCATGTACTTGACGAGTCCCGGAAAAAAAGGCCTGCCGGATAAATCAGAATAGTGTTTTGATAACAGTTCTTCTGATGCCTGAAATAAAATGTAATTTAATAATAATTAATAATTTACTTTAATTAGAATGTAACAGTTTGTATCACAAAATAAGAGAGTATGTATATTCTGAACTAAAATCTAAATATCAATTAATAAACATTTTAAATGCAAATTTTATCCTTCTGAACAAGTTACCTTAGACAAATTCAAATTATGTTAAAAGATAGTGAAACATATCATGTATTAAATTGTTTCACTATCAGATTAAAGAAAAGAAATTCAAACAATTTTTATTCAAAAACCCTAGTTAGGGGGGAGTCATTAGGTAAAATAGGTACGGACATATTTCGTCAATAGATTCTGTGGTTCGGGTTTAAAACGGACCAGGCGGCTCGCTTTGCGACCAAATGTTTGCTGTTGTCTTGGCTATTTAAGACGGGCCGGTTTTTTTTTTTTTTTTGTCACCGCATACACTCAATCAAGACGGAATGACATTCATCGCGCATTGCGCATCACGAAAATAACACTCGAAATTATTTTCCACCGAATCGCCAGAGAAGGACAACATTTTAAAATAACGATGAAATTCGTCTCGCCGTAAATGCCTCGAGCGCCCCCTTCCCCCCGGCCCGTTGTACCGAACTGGACCCGATCGAATTTTCAAATATCCCGGGGTCCGGGCGTTTCGCGTTCGTTAAAACGACGGCGATTTTCGCGAATTCCGCGCTGCGAGGACCCATTTACCCGATTGCGCATATCCGTATGTTGACGCGCGACAACAAATGCCGACGGGCGACAAAAGCGCGCGGCCGCTAAACGTTCCGCCCAGCCGTCAACGCGTTGTCGATCATCAATCGTTACGGCGGTGAACGCGTCCGGCGTTGAAACGCGACGCCCGCGTGCCAACAAAAGCAGCCGCGTCGCGTCCGAAATCGGTAAACTTTGAACGGCCGCCCGCCCGCCCGCCCGTCTCTTCAGTCGTCTCGCCGCGCTATTCAATCCCCGTCCGAAACCGTCCCGTTGACGGGCGGATGGAAATCGGGAATCGCGACGTCTGAATTTAAAATAACGACACGTTTACGGGTCGCGGGTTATTGGTTGTGGAAGCACTCGTCGCGCGGTTCCCGCCAATCAAGAGCCGGTGAATCCGGTCCGCCATCGTCTGACACGGACGGAGGAAAACAAAGCAAAAAATATATCACCGAGGACACCGCGACATTGCGCGGAACGTCGCGCCTGCGGTTCCGAAAAGAGTCTCGTGCCGGAGCCGTTTTATCGGGAAACGAGTACTCCGCGGGCGGCGGTCGACGCGAGACCGGAGAAAGGCCGCGCAGTACGTGGGGCGGGTCGAAAGTACTTGCCCACATGAACTTCATCGCGACCAATTTGAATCCTTTGTCCTCGAAGCGCTTGATGATCTTGGCGACCAGGCCTCGTTGCACGCCGTCCGGCTTGATCATGATGAACGTACGCTCGGCATACGCGTCGCCGGACATTTTTTCAAAGTCGACAACCGCGGGGCGCTGGAACGCGAAACGCTTTGAACGGCACAAACGGCACAAATGCGGGACGGCCGGGCGCGGTTACGAGGCCGCCGATTCGCGCGATCGTTTTCGTGGAGAAGGGGCGGGGGGACGGAGGTGGGAGAGCTGTTACGCCGTTCGCGATTACCGCCGTCGAGAGTACCGTGCGGTCACTGTCGCCGTCACGGCGATAATGTTCCGTGCGTCTATAATTATAATGCGGCCGATTGTGCGGGGACAGAAGTAAAAAAAAAAAATAAAAAATGCCGCGGGTATAAAAAGCCGGCTTATCGTTCGTATGTTTGTAATTAGTTACAGTCGGGCGTTATCGTTTATATTGCCGATTCTGTAACAATAGCGAATGGGTTTTACATTTTTTCTTAATATAGTTATGAACGTGTTGTTATTTGTTTACCGCGACGCCTCGTATAGAAATGATTTTTTTTTTTTTTTTAATATCGATTGTGTAACGCGTACATTTTTTTTTTGTCCGTTTCGCTAAAAACTTTATTCTACTCGTTTTTGACTCCGGTAACATTTTTCCGTCGACAAAACTAATGGTTGGCCGGGGAAGAATCAAAAACGCACATTGTCTTATTATTCCGCGGCTTTCCCCCCGATTACCACTGTAGGCGGCCGGTTAACCTGTCTGTGCTTGGAAACGGCGCACGGTGGGGACCGGACGAAAATCCGCTGTTTTAGGCGAGAAGTTGGCGATGTAGGGGCGGGCGATACAGAGGGGAATTCAATGTTGAGCGTATTGGTGGGCGTGCAGCGGATTAATCTCAGTCAACGGAAAACGATTCGGAGCGGAGTTTTCGGAGAAAATCTGAGCGAAATATTACGGGCAGAAACGTTGTTCACGGAACGAGAAAAGCCCGTTTTCGACGGGCGTGACCGAAGCGCCCCCCCCCCTCTTCTCCCTCCCGGGGTCCGGTAACAGTGTTCGCGGTCGTAACCAAAGGTCGCGTCCACGCGCCGTCCCGTACGTCTTGACGTCAATAACATCCGTCATCGTCGCCCGGTCGGGCGTCGGCGGCTGCGTGCGTAGGCGGCCGCGTGCGTCACACGGCCGTAAAACCGACGGTAATCGTATCTCGTGCCGCCGACAACGACGACGACGACCAAACGACGTTAAACCCGTTTCGCCGGGCGCTTTTACCGGACGCGTTTGTTTTGTCGCGGCCAAAGAACGGGTAAGAGCCGCACGACGTGACCACTGACCTGCTAGTGAGAATGACGGAGGACCCGCGTCGGTTTCGGCCGGGCGCGGCGGCGCAGCGATCGATTGCGTGGCGGCGCGCGGCGCGTGATTTACGCGCTCTCGCGGTCGCGACTGACGAACAATGGCGGCGCGCCGGTAAACGTAGGGAAAAGCCACCGCTCGCGGCGGACCGTCGCGCAATCTCGGCGCGGCCGCCCGCGTCACGCCGTTACGGACCGTTTCACGCGGTCGGGCCGTGTACGGTTTCGGCGCGACGCGTCACGCGGCGGTTTGTCGGGCGGCCGTGTACCTTAACCGTGAACGCGGTCGCGGTTCCCGCGCGGCACCGAAACCGCGGGCGGGGGGCTACGCGACGTGCGAGAACGTTCGACGCGATTCCGGATTCGGCGGTTTTCGCGGTTCTTGAAGAGTGTAGGGTAGAAAAAAAAAAAACCGAAGAGTACGACGAACTTCGTTCGGAAGGGAAAACCCCCGTATGGTACGCGTGTTGCGTAGTTGGAATTTGACGTTATCAAAAAATGTTTTTTTCCTCCAAAATGTACGTTTTTCAATCCGTCGTTACGTTCAAACCGCGCCCACCGCACTTGCTTTTACGGTTTTTGTATGCAAAAAAACGGTAAAAAAAAAAACCAGCATTTTCGGAATTAATCCGAAATGTGGTCGAGAATGGCGATTTTTTTTTAAATTTTATTATCAAAGTCATAACGACGATTTTTTGGTTTTAGAGGAGTTGTTCGGCGTTCAAACGCGACGACGTCGGCGTCACCGATTTCGCCTGTGCGCTTGTCGCATTTCCCCGTTACTTACCCGCCCGACGTTGTCGAACGTTATTTTCGATTGAAATTGTCGAGCAGAGCGCAGCGAAATATGGCGCGTTTGAACGTCCGCGTTTCGGCTTAGAGAAACCGAATCGTTTTCACGGACATGTTTTGTTAACACGCACGCGCCGGCGAAAAACACGAATGGTATAAATCGAAACGTTACAAAACGCAACGGCCGAATCCGATTCGCCGCGGCGTTGGCTTACTCAAATGTCCGTTTCGGATTCGGTGCACTCGCTGTGTGCTAATTAACTACGCGTAACAAATGTATTGTTTTTTCATAATTGTAATTTTTGTTTTATGTTTTCAAATCCCATTGCCGTTCCGAGCTTGGTTGTCATCACGGAGGGAGCGGGCGGGACGCGAATGTCGCCGCGCCACAACCGCCGCCGCCGGCGTCGGTTTCGTTCGCGGACGCTCGGCGCCGTCCGTTTTTCGCGCGCGGCGTCCACAAACCGTGTCACACAGAAATGCGGCGAATACGACTCGAGACTTCCGCGGGCCCTCCGCGCCGTCTCCGCGGCAGAAAGTGTCCGCGCGAACTGTTCACTGTGAACAATGTGGATTCGAGACGGTTTGCCGGACGGTAGCGGAACCGGTCGTGAGAGGATTTCCGCGGTTTCTTCAACTGCGTCTAGTTTCGAGCCGGTGCGCGTGGGGACGCGCAGGTCGGGGCCATTTGTCGGGGCGCGGCACCGTCACAGACCGGAGGGTTTCGAGGCGCGTCTGTACGCATTCGGTCTTACGGCCGTAAGTCGTCAAAGTCGGGGACGCCGCGAGTCCGAATCGGCGCCCGGGGCGTTTTACCGGCGTGCCGAGCCGACGTGACGCGGCGCGGCAGTCGCCTTTCCCGCGTCTCAACAGACGCCCCGGATCGGGCCGGGCCATCCGGTCGCGAAACGATACCCGCCACCGTAACAGCCGGCGGCCGCGCCGCGATAATAAAAAATAACCGATCAAATTCGACGACGCGCCGGATTCGCTTGTGCGAGTCCCGGCCGTTTCGCAAACGTTAACGGCCGTCTTGAATATCCGGCGGCGTCACCGCGCATAAATATTGGATCGCGGACGCTGCACGCGGTCATGGTGCCGCGGAGCGTGGTTTTCGCGGACGAACGGTTTTAACGCGGATCGTCTGTACGGCGGGGTTGTGACGGCGCACGAATGTGACGGGTACGCGACACCGTCCCGTTCGCCGTCAGACCGGAATCGGTTTCGCGGCGGACGGTACCGTTAGGACGGGTGTTTCACGCGAGCGTACCGCTTGACGACGTGACGCGGCAAAACGGCCGGCGGTCGCCAGGATACGATCGCCGTCCGCCGGCGGAGGTTTTACCGCGCAGCCCGCTCCGCCGGGTTACGAATTCTGTATTCCCGCGCGCGTCACGGTACGATTTGTTTGGCGCGTCGTTCGTGTACGCATCTCCGTACGCGCCTCCAACCAACGGGGTCGCGACGCCCCGGCCGATTAACGTCCCTCGAGTAACGCGCGCGTCAAAGACGTTCGCGGCGCGTTAAACGCGCCCGACATTCGTTCGCCGACAAACGGCTGTGCACGGTTTTCGCGACGCCGGATAATTTAAACCGTACGGGGCGGGCGTGGGTATTCCGGCAAACCAATCCGCCCGAACGCCGCCCCGCCGTCGCCTTTCACTCGGCTTCTAATCGCACAGTCCGTTGTGCTTCTTTAGCGGCCCGATTGCCGGTTTTTTTCTGCCGATTTTGGGAACCACTGCCACTTTGGGCTCTCTTATCATTTATCGCCGGCGGAATTGTGCGCGTAACGACTCGAACGGCTAAAACGCGCCCGGACAAAACGCAACGGTCGTCTATTCGTGGTAAGAGTCCGCGTGCGACAGAAAAGACGGCGGCCGGAGGAACCAATTTTTCGAACGGTCGGCGATCCGTCCCGTCTGTTATCTATGGTGCGCCGGTGCGAGCCGTCCGAATCGAACGATAAGTCATCCCGTTGTTCCGGAACGGCGTCGAAACGGAACAGTTATTATGACTTACGAACAGGCTGCGTGCGACGGTAATCATTTGACGTTTCTATAAATTTTATGATATTCGAGCCCCGTTCCCCCCTCCCCACCCTCGATCGATTCCGTACGCGCGACGTTCGACTCCGTTTTCACGGGTATCGCTGTCATTTGTGCGTGTGTTTTTCGTTGTTTTCTACAGGTTTTCAATAATATCGAATTCACACATTCAGCCTCACAAACGGTTGCTTTCCACGGATTCCGTAACCCTTTCGCGGGTCGATCGTGTCACATTCGGTTCGTTTGTTTTCGGCCTGTCGGCCCGCCCGGCCTAAACGGTCGCCCGAAGTTAATGGTATTGAAATTGAAGGTAACGTTCGAACGATCGTTGTTATGACTTGAACACACCGATCGAGATCATTGAATTTTCCATTACCAATCACGCATAACTGTTACACACGTATCGTTTTATTTTCAATTATCTGCTTGAACGATATCGACACTGAATGAAACGGTTTAAATTTTATTTTCAAATCCAACCTATATCTATCTATCCGTGAGAATCCTTGTAACAAATGATCTCTGGCACCAGTCATATTGTTTTATTTTTTTTTTTCTCCGCGATAGAGCAGGCCAGGATAGATTCCGGACCAGGTCTTAGGCCTTTTTGTATTATCGGCAAATATGTTAGTGTTGTGTCAGACAGGAGGAGGAAAATGAATTGTTGGAGTGGTGACCGAGAGAAGGCGAGCGACCCATAGATATTTGATTTGGCACAGTCAACGCGGTATGTGGGTTAACTGTGATAGGGCCATGTACAACTATAGTGATATGGATGAAATAAAACAAAAAATTATTCATAATTAGATGGACACAGAAAGAGAAATTTTTTTTCTTTCAAGGACAAAGCCGAAATAAATATAAATCATTGAGTACAAAAAGTTATTTAGGTGATAAATTAAATATAAATACCTACCGTCTCCAATATTAAGTCTTAGCCGACGCCAATATAATTAACACTATTAACAATGGTTTATTTAACGAATCCAAAAACTATTTACAATAATACATTTAGGCCAGAAAAGTGATAATAGAAACGCCATTTAACATACACAATAAAATTAAATATTTTTAAAACCTAACTACATATAATAATAACTGAATAAAAAAAAAAAAGTGATTGCTTAATATTATAATGTTTGAAACATTTACATTATGTTTCCTAATAATTCAAATGATTGTTTTTAACCGACAAATAATTTATGTTATAGATCTGAAAGCTTTTGAAAGAAGACTGACCGAGGCCATCGCTTCTGTCAAACCAATAACTAATCGATGGCGCAGTATGATCATTTTTGTTTTTCATCGTTACCAATAACTTAACATGATAATATTACACTAATTATTTTAATTTGTTTTACAGCAGTTTTAGCCCTTTCAACTTTGAGTACATCAATTGGTGCTTATTATTGGCTGTCTGATCCACAAACGGCGAAAGTGTCATTCATCCAATCACTGTACAACCATTTATTGTTCACCATTTCATCTATAGTACTTAGTAAGCATAAAATATAATTTTCCAGCTTAAGTACATTGTTGTTTAACACTAATTTATTTTATTTTAATCAGTGGTATTACTGCTAACTGGTATCCACAAAAAAGTGATAGGGACATCGATAATCACGTCCCGTGTCAGGATAGTACTAGCAGATTTTAATATGTCTTGTGACGATTCCGGAAAACTAATACTCAGACCGAGGCCTCAACAGAATACGTCATAAGTAATTAAGTTGTTATAAATTGTAAAATATAAAAATTATATTTTTTTATTCATACAAAATGTATTGATATAATGTATTTATTTAATAGGTTATAACAGTATTTAAATATTTAACGAATACTTGATATATTTTAATAATATATTTTTATTATTATTGTGTTCAATGTTATCAAAATTTAATTTGCACATTCTAAACTAGTGTAAATGAAAAGAGACCATCATAATATACTTGTTTATAAATGTAAAACATCAAAATAACATACTCGTACAAAAGACAAAAATAATGATGTCTTTATTCATCCTGCTTTTTGGCCCAATAGTATTGTCATACATACGCAAGCATCTTGTGTTAACATGACAAAATTACTTGACCGAATGATAAATGAGTACATAAATATTATTATTTTTTTTTTACTTATGGTTTTTAATTTACAAACAAATATAATATGCTTAAAAATAGATGTAAAACAATGATTAATGCACAAACAATTAACATTTAACAAACAATAGGTATATCATTTAACGAGATCAAATTTATATTTTTTATTACCAGTTTTACACATTAACATATCGACTCTTAGTAAACGACTGGTGTCAAATTCAATTTTATGTTCTAATGATTTCAATATGGTCTTCAAATGATTAGACTGATCCCCCAAACACCAAGCAATACTTAAATGAAACTTAGGATTCTAGAAAAAAAAAAAACATTAATTAGACAAATTAAATATAAATATTGTGTTCCAATTGTAAGGATTAAAAGTAATTTTAATATTAATAAATGTGTCCAATACCTGAAGATCTGACAAATGTAACAAATCAAATTGATTAAGATAGGCAAGTCTTTAAGATTTTAAGAGTAGTGAGGGATCTATTGATTTTACTATGGGTTTTTTTATTTCTGTCTGTAAACAATTTTTCTACTAGAATCAATAAATCAATTTAATAAAGAAAAACTTTTTTGTTGCATTTTGGATCTAGTTGGTGAGTATGTAAGTTTTTTTTGATTTTCTCTCAATGATTTTTCAATTATATTTAGGTAATATACAGAAGCTTAATCACTAGTCAATAGTTTGTACACCAGATTCCAGAATACCTCAATTTTTTCAAAAATTATCAAGATTTCCTATAAGACTACCAGAGATCAAATTATATTAATTTTCATTAGTAATTTACCCTCTGGTAATATACATAGACAATTTCATAAACAAATTAAATAATAATTTCTTACTAAATAATTCTTAATTAATTTTCTTCCACATACAAGTTAGCATGTTATAAATATGGAAAATTTTTCATTTATAGGCATGAATAAAACTTAATATTAAACGAATTATGATATAATGTAATGTATTGTTATGGAAAATATTATACTAAGTAAAATAAACTTTGGTATTAACTTCGATTAACTAAATCCGATATTATAAATGGAAAACATCGCAAGTCCAAGATTTAGGGAGAAGAGATATTAATCAAATTTTAATGGCTATACAGTGGAACCTTGATAAGTCAAAATCAATGCATTGTGAAAACCGCGATTACTTGAAAAAAACTATAGCTAATTCTAACATGTGTGTTCTGAATATAGATAGATAGTGTGGGATAATTTTTATAATAATTTGTCTAATCGACTTGTGTGTCCCAATTGCATTTATTGTGTTTATTATTGTATTTTCCATTTAATAATAAATAATAATAATTCAACATATACATACATTTAAAAAATTCTTTAAGTCAAAGTTTTTTCCTAAACCTTGATAACTCGAAAAAAAATTGCATTTCCTTTGAATTTTGACTTATCAAGGTTCCACTGTACTGTAATAGTGATTAGGTAGATACACAACAAGTACTCACTTCATAGTATTTCGGTAGATTGTAATCGGATAAGACACTGTCTAATTGAGCGACACATTGACATAAAATATCTAGTGGTTGAGCATTAAAACCAATAAATGTTCTAGTATGGTTATCATTACAGAATACCTCCAAATTACCTAAACGTACAGTAAACCTACAGGAAAAATAAAAAATTTTAAATTATTAAACAACTTATAATAAATTTGTTTTAAAAAAGGCGTTATTAGAAATGTATTCGTAGAACCAGAAAAGATCTATCTAACAGACTATAACAATTTTTTCAAACTGTATTTTTATAGTTTGGACTTTGAAGCAATAATACATTTTACAAAACGATTCAATTTTTTTAATGGAACCTCCATGTTATAATTTCATGTTAGAAGGTGAATATCTAATATAATTTGGTCGAAATAGTAGTGTAAAGTAAAAATTGACGGGGAATACAAATTATTATTTTTCTCATCCGTTACAAATACTTTAAATGTCTATAAATTATGTTGAGTGGTGCAATATGATATCGAAAATTGGTAATTAAGAATTAATTATAATACAACAGAATGCATAACCTTCAATACAAAATAAATACCGACCTCAAAATTGGCATTAATTTTGATTTGATGTCATTAATGAATCGCTGTATCCAATGATATTGCAACACGACTGTTCTTGTTAGGCTTATATGAGGATTTTTAATTATTTCTAGACCGTATTCAGTCAAGTTTTCTTGAATAATTTCCACCAATTCCATCTCCGGACCTTGAAAATATAGGCACTGTATTATTATATAAAATATATTAATACACACTATAGGCGTATTGTTATCAAATTAGTCGATGCTTAAATTTTAATTAATACAACACCTGAATTCATCATTTGACTAAATATATACAAATTACGAGCTCGGCGAATAATAAATATACTGTTCAAAATCTCACAGGTACATAATAATTACAAGTACTGGATAGTTAATATATTGACTGAAATGAAATTCATTATCAATCATGTTTTAAAGTAAAAACTGTACTGATTTTACAAATCTGGTCAATTGTCGAATACTAAACGATTTTTAATCGACCAATGATCAACATTTTTGGAAATTTTTCCAACTCGTAATTTAATCAAGTCCCTGGGAAAATATGCACCTGGGTATAATTTTTATGAAAAATCGTAGTTTTTTTTTTTTTTTTACTATTTGACATTTGAATAAATGCCTACGACATACGTTAAGTTGTACATCAGCAATCACAATCGTTCAATTAAATATCAAAGATGCCAATGCAAACTCACACGGTATGTAAACGTAAGTGGCCCAATTCCCGCGTTCGTGTTCAAACAGTCGTTCACGTCCCTGATGAGAAGCCGGATCGTTATTGGGCTTTGGATGGTACTCCTTGCCGTCAAACATCATAGCGATGGTTTCGGGTACGGGCAATTTATGTTCCGGTTCGCTGTTGGGTTAAAAAAAAAATTAACGGCTGAAGACGAATGTTAAAAGATCAAATAATATCAACGGTGTGTTTACTCGGTTTCGCTGTCGCTGTCTCCGTAACGCTGAATCAGGTCCATTGTGAAAATCGGTTAAATGGGAACGCGTGACGCCGATTTTCCACCGGACCGAATTCAGTTCAGCATTTTGTCCGGCGGAATTTTCACAATATCGTATTGTGTGCAGTTCAAGCGTCGCAGAAATCGATGAAACGCATTATTCCGCGCATGCTGGCGTACAGCAGAAATAATTATAACGGACGTTGACGCCGAACAGTACGATCATATCGAGTCGCGTTCGACGGGACCGACGACGACGAGCGGCGGTCTCGGGAATCGTATCGAATCCCGTGATAAGCGTATCCGAAAACCATTGATAGTGATCCGGTTCTTATCGTCCTACCAAATGCTATAGATAAGAACGCGGGCACGGCTCGGCTGAATAGCGCCACGCGTGTTTTTCTCGCCCGGGAACCGCATTGGGTTGCCTACTTGAAACAATTTACGGCGTTGCGTCTAATATACGCGTTCGAGTGCGTTTCCGATTTGAACGCGCATAACGAATAGATTTTTGCGAGACGTGTGTGCATTATTTGGTAACGTAATTTTCGGGAACAACGATAACGATCGTCTGTCCAAACGCGAAATGTATGCCTACTGTTCTTTACGTTCCACGTTTATTCGTGTTGATTGCGTTTTTGTGTTTCCTCACGCGACACGCATTCGCACGTGGGGCTGGTTCATGTTGAAACTGCAATAAAAGGAGTATAAACAGTGCCGGACTAACGTTCCGTAAATTCCGAGCGAATGAAAAATCGCAAAATGTGTCGCAGTCGGAAGAAAAAAACGTTTAAAAATGAATTGTATTTATTGCATAGCAGCATTAAAACGTAATATTTGAGAGTCGTTTAGACCGACTGATAGCATTAAATGTTTCCCAGTAGGAGAGTGAATCTGGTTGGTACTTTGGGCGATCAAAAGTAAGAAATTATCAGTACCCAGTTTACAAAAGCGTTTTAAGAGAAAATGTCGATGAAACGCATTAAAATCGTGAAAATGTTTGTAGTTTTGTAATTAAAATAATATAAAATATTAAAAAAATGATAAAAAAATTACGCTGACATTCATACGGAAATACTCGTATAGGCTTTTTCTAGACGCGGTTGAATTTTCAAAACAATTTTGCGATTTTCTAACTCGAAAATCGTTTTAATATTTATTCATACTCTATTCGTTTTATTTACGCATCGATCGTTATACTTTTTTTAGATTCTAAGTGAAACGTGGGATCTGTTGATTGTACTGTGATGTGTATTTTGTTTCCGTCTGTAAACAACTTTTCTCCTAGATATCTCGTTCCGACCGAAACACGATAAGAGACGTTTTTTGTTGCATTTTGGATTTAGTTGGTACTTTAGAGAGGTAATAATTTTTTGAAATTCTCGTTGATATTTGAGATAATGAGGATAAACTAGTTCTTTTAGGTTGAAAAAGATTAAAAATAAGGTTGTCGTTGTCGACCGTTTCTATTTATTTTTTGTTATTAATAAATTGTTATTATTTTAATTTTTTAATATTTTTTATACAATCGCTGCTGTGCCGATCACGGAAATGCACATTGTTGAAAAAGTCATACTATTGATTTAGCTCCGCTCGGAATCGTTTTTCGAAACCAATGATTAATCGTTTCGTACAGTTATAAATTAAATTCCTCTCTATATCCTATCTTCCCAAATTTGCACCTAGAACAATGGCGGCACCCGACCCAGTATCAGCTTATTTTTCTTTCTTCTTTTTCCGTTTTTCACAGAAACTGGTCCGTATCTGAAATAGCTATCTAAATCGTCGCGTATCTTTGTGAAACTGCTATCAGACGATAAATTAAAAATAAATAAACGTGTTATATTTACGAGTTTTTTCACGCAGTTTTTATTTTGTAGATATTCTGTGAGTAAGATGGTTTAATTAAACACAAATGGTTAAACATTTAATTCGATATTCATTATAAGTTTAAATAAACGATAAAAAAAAAAAGTTGAATGCAATGTAGCCAATTTCAGTCATAAATTTATTAAGATCTTATTGATTTTCTGCAGATTTTAACGAAAATCGTACATTTTACGCCATTTCAAAACATGTATTAACAGAACTTTGTTTTTTTTTTTTTTGTATAAGTGTTTTAATATCAGATTTTTAAGTGGTAAAAATTATGACCGTTTAAAATATTATGGTAATTCCGCTCAGAATCGTTTTTCATTAGCGATGGTTGATTTATCGTTATTTATCGACGATTGCAGATATAAATAAAATAATTTTTTATGCACCCTACCATTTCAATTTCCCACCTATATCGGTGGTACTGGTACACCCGTTTCCAGTATTAGTTATTTTTTTTTTTTTCAATTACCATACACATTAAAATATTTTCAATCACATCTGTGCAGAGACGCCGAGACTATTTTTCATATTGTGGCGAAAAGGCAAAAATATAGATAGCGTAAGTATCCATAGTTACACCATTCATATATCCTGAGACCCGCCTTTCCCCCCGCGATATGCATATAGGGGAAAGGCTCACTTCCTTTATCTGTGTTATTTTTTTTTTTCTTTACTCTTCCACCAGTGCTCGATACGGAAAATGCATTGAACCACAATACATAATTCTTTTTTTTAATACTTATATAATATATATTATGTACAGTATACTGTTCATATGATTTGTGGACAGTAATGATAAAATTTTTTTTCTTCGTGAAAATGTCAACCGGAATTGCTTTGGCGTTCATTTCGAGTGCCGATTCAAGCACGTCTTTGGGTACGGACGTAACTAAGTATTAAAACAAAATTTAATTTGATTTTTGCAAGTGTACAGTATTGCCATAGATTATTACATTACGTATCAAATCACATGCAATTTGGGTATAGTGGCTATTCACTACAATAGTCGCAGAGTTATAATCGATGCCGGCTGTAAAATGAAACCGTAATATCAGCCAGTGTGTTAGAAACAGTATTTCTTTGGCATTTTAATATTAAATATTTTTATTCGTGAAATTAATAAATAATATGAATAAAAAATCGAATTTGAATAATGTTTGTTTTTGTTATTCATAAATTTCTATCTATATTGTATTTATATATTTATGAGTTTGTTTGTCCGTCTACGTTTTGAACGGAGGGTACAATAAGTGCCCCGATCCCCGTACTCCGGCGCCACTGCTGCACCTGCGAAGTTAAAATATTCACAGACCGGCTTTAGTCCGTATAAGTGGGAAGGAAAATGTATGTGCATAATCTGATTCGTAATTTCAGTAAACGCGCGCCCTTAAAACTGCGTCGGGTACTTACCTGCACAGCGCGGATACAATTATTATTATTTTTTTAACAACAATCACGTTTTATAGATAGGGCGTAGGTAGGTACAGTGACATGTCTAGGAATTTTCAACGGGAGGGTACACGTATGGCAAATAAGGACCGTGAATAAATCATTCGTCTCCTCTACCCGACTCGACTATGGAAACCGGTACTCTAAAAGCCGGATCCTAAAAACGGCCAATTTCTAATCAACACGTCAAGCTTTTTTCCCCGTAACTTGGCTGAAATACACGCATAGATTACTCATATATTTTTTTTTTCTGCATTCGTATGCCAATGAATAGGGGTGGGGTGTATACTTTGCCCGTGCACGTGCACGCACCGGGTAGGTAAACCGGTAGGCGCCGTCGGGTAAGTACCGAGGTATAGTCGGACGCAATAACAAACAAGATTTCAATATTTACAATTATTCGATTTTAATATGACGTAGGTATGGTAATAATAAGTTCGGCGACTAAACATAATAGGTAATTAATGATAATAATAAATAATAAGCGCGCACTCGTCGCGACCGACAAAATATAATGCGTGATTAATAATCAAATGTTAAAAACGGGACTACGGGCGTACGGACTGTGCCGTTGACTCACGCGAACTATTCTACGTTTGATTAACATCGGCACGCAGCGATGTTATTATTCACGCGTGCATCGTTTGCGAACGCGATTTCCGTATCGTGTTGAAAATAGCGCGACACATTGGTTCTGCCGTCTCGGAATCGTGTAAGTTAAAAAGATTAGAAAAAAAAAAAAAAAAACTCGCGCACAATAATAACACTACGGTCGCGCGCGATGAGTGCGCGTGCAATAGTGCAGATACACATACATAGCCGACGGACGATAATGTAATGACAATGCGTTTAGGACCGATTAAAAAGCTATCGTTTCGGTTTGTTTTTCGTAAAAACTATGTTACACAATAATCTTGTTGTAGTTAAACAAACGTAGTGTATAGATATATATAAAAAAAAAAAAAAAAAAAAAAAATGTAACCGCCCCGTTCGACAACAAGGGAAGTACGGCGCGCCGTAATGATAGCGTGCGCCCGGTAACAGTCGCCACTGCGCGGAGACGTACTTCGGTTGTTCGGCCGAGGGTTTCGCGGCGTCTAGAAGTTTCCGGCGGCCAGCGTGAACGCGGCCGCGGCGACGGCGGCGGCGAACGTCAAGGCGTGCGAGGACGAACTCCGACGGCCCGAAGACTTGTCCCACGGCGTGGCCGGATCGCTGTGCACGGCAAAACAAAACAAACAGACGGTCGTTATAATACAAAAAATACACATTACGAAGTATTGTTACGGGCGCGGTCGAAAAGACCCGTGAACATTACACGGAAAACGGGCGAGGGAAATATTCGAGGGGAAGGGGGGGGGTCTCGGGATGATAATAATAGGTACGCGCGTACATACGGGCGACGTGACACGAATCCGGATCGGGCGTTTCGGGCTTTGAAGTGCGGGAAATGCGATTTCGGATTTCGAAACGCACAACCGTTGTGGTTATTTGTTTTCGAATTGTACGCGAAATGCTTATAAGAAACCGCGATCCGTAGAGTTTCGAAATCCGAAATCCCGATATTTTCGCTAGCAATATTGGGCAGTGCGAACTCTGATATTTAAATATTAATAATGTGCGCAACGGCTATAACGTGTAATGTTACGAATGATAGGCACAATTCCTGACTTCCCGTCAACAGAACGAACAGCCCGTAACTGTGCATACCCGTCGGCCACGACGTCCGTATAGCAGGGTGTCCTTAATCTATGCTTAGTAACCTAGAAATCGATTGAAAACTCGACGATTTCAAATTGCTATAAGTAGCTCAAAAATCATCGGGCGAGTTTCTCATGCCTCTTCGGTTTTTTTTTTTTTTTGAAACGGATCACAAACAAATCTAAAATATACAGAAATCGTTGCAGCACAAATTGAGAAAACTGCAAGGAAAATAAAAA